CCATATTTTCTATGGTTATATGTCTTGCACCTAAACTTTATTTTTCATATTTACACTATTGAAATCTTTTGTGTCGCATCGGAAACTATTATCTTAACTTTGAAGATGTGAAATATATGCATTTTTATGCCTGGATAAGGCGGGTATATGTGTAAAAATTAAAATTTTGGGGTTAGATGTGTAAATATGTGGTGATCATTTTCTTGTTTGTTAGGTTTCATGCTTGTGTGATATATGAGCCAAGTTTTGAAGAAATGGGCAGGCTTATTATAATATATGAAAGTCAAAAATGGAGGAGAAATTAGTCATTGTTTAAGAAGAAAATGAAATGAACTAATATTATTTAGTAGAAAATAAAATGCCTTTTTTATAATTTTATTTTTACAAATTAAATCAATGAAATGAATCTGAAGAGCGAATTTGAAGAAAAGCATTTGCTCAATCGTATATGATTTTTCGACGAATTTTTTGCTCTGAATGCTGACTGCATAACGCAACTCTCCATTTTTTTTGCATCTGAGGCTTAAAACCTGATAATAACAGTGTTAAATCTGTGGTTAATCATATTCTTAAATAATCGAGAATTTTAAAATCGCGTAATTTAAATATTGTAATCAACATTCAAAATTTGATTCTACAATTCACATTTGGTGAAAGTTGATCAATGAAAAGTTGGGCACTTTAATATGCTCTTTATCAAATAAAAATAAGAATATTTAGAACCTTTTAAGGTTTTTCTAGTAAAGATATTGTTTCTAAATGTTTTACTTAGATATAAGTTTTCTTAGAATGGTTAGCAATAAAATATAAAATATATGAGCCAATTATGTGACTTTTGAGTAACAATATTCTCCTTCAACTACTAGGCCAAGAATCCTCTCATAAGCTCACAAAATTTGAAACATATAGTGTATGGAATATCATCAATGTGAATTTACTATAATATAATGTCAATAATATATTTAGATAGTGATGGTATGCTATTATAAAGATATAACAAATAATATTTAATGTCTTTGTGAATTAGCACTATCAATCACTCTTGCCTTGAATTAAAAAAATAATATTACAAAAAATGATAATTACATCTTTATAATAATATTTTGGCTACAATGATCATAATTGGACAAAAAGAATCGTAGTTGGTGAGTATAATAATAGTAGTTGGCAACAAAAATCATAGTCCAAGATTATAACGATCATAATTGGCTACAAAATTGTAACAGGTGATTGAAACAATTGTTATCAATCACAGCTACTGATAATTCATATGGCTATAAATGAACCAATGCACTTGATGAATGATTTTGAACTCGACTTGAATAATACTCGATCATGTTTGTTCAAATGAGTAACTAAATAAGTTTGAACAGTTTTTAAAAACTCAAAACTTAGATAAACTGAAATTGAACATAGTCCAATTCATTTGTTAATGTTCACGAACAACTCATTTGTTATTCAACAAGTAACTATTTAATTCTTGTATACTTATATGATATATTATTTAAATAAAATTTAATTTATTAAAGCTTATTTAATAACATTTAATAATAATATATTATAATTGATATCAATATACACATAAATTTAGTGGAAATTTTTTTATTTTATTGAACTAATTTGTTCGCACTTATTTATGTTATTTGTTTACCAAAAAACCTTAGTTATAACTTATATATTATTTTATTTATTCTGTATAAATTAGTTTGATGATCATCTAAAATCTATTCAATTATTTAATTATATAAGTCTATAAAATCATTTGTTAATATCTTTATACAAAAAATTAAATACTCATTTAAAATTTTAATTTGTTTACTAACTTTATATGAAAAATTATGCACAAATCAAAATTTTAATTTTATATGAAAAATTAAGTACTTATTTTGATTTTTAGCTTTTGAACTAATATAAACAAGCCAAAAATAAATCAAGTATGAACATTAAAAATTTTAAGCATGCCAAGTATAAACTCATCTCAAGCTCAAACTGGACATGAACAACTTAGGCTTCACCCAAACCAAGTCCAAACTAGCATACTTAGCTTAACTTTGCTTAATTACAGCCTTAATCTTTCACATGCACATAATTATGCTTTAGTTGTCAGCCTGATTTTCTATTTTTCTCCCACTGCCCCCTTGGAATTAAAGTGTATTTATAATTTGAAAAATGGGTGTTTCCATAAATTTATTCATGTTCTAAAAGTACTTCATCAAAAGGTCAACATTGATCCCCTTCAACATTTAAGTGACTTAACAAACTCATAAATAGATGATCATGTGCTCATTGGATTCCTTCTGCTGAGACATTTGATTTTCTTGTAATCAACTTAGAGATTATTTAGCATTCTAATTGATATGTCAAAACTTTCAACAACACTTCAAATATTTTATATGGAATTATTTAGGGTTAGATCAATTTTAGTTTTATTTGATTTATCTTATTGAGACACTTAATTTGACTATAAACTTGCAGAAATAAGACCATAGATGACCCTAAATTTGAATTTGGAATATTTTTTGCTCAAAATGCATTGAGATTCATGCTTGATGATTAAAATTTATTGATGACACACAAACATAATATAGTATTACATCAATAATTACTCAATCATTCCATATTA